TTTGGAGAAGGCAGGAGAAGTGAACAATCTAAGCCAAAATAGCTGATTTGGAAAAATTCTCCTATTCAGTTCACTTTCCAGCTCAGCTATGTTGTCCTAGATTGTTCACTTCTCCTGCCTTCTCCAAACTCTTCACCCTTTTGTGAATAGACCCCTAAGTCTAGCATGTCTAGCACCCTCTCCTTTCTGCTCCACTACCCACCACACTCTCCTCCTCCACTAACATTGCTCTAGCTCCCTTCAGTATTCACCCCAGGCCCTACATATCACTCCTGACAGACCCTTTCTCTCTTTGCCTAACCCCCCCCCCCTTTCCCTTCCCAATCCCTGCAGTTCGTAATGATTAAGCTCCTGCAATCCAATCGAGAAGCTGCTTGCAGAAACTTCATTGGAAGTACTGTCATGCAGTAGCTGTATACTGTTCTTTTGAGTCACAAAAAAATCAAGGCTCGGGATGAAAAGAACATTTTTCACTCTGATTTCAAAAATATTGATTAGCATTAGCAGTACCATACCTTGAGGTTGTGAAAATGCCATATACCAAAGTATTCCGAGGATTGTCTGCTTCCATTAGAAAAACATCCTCTATAATAAAAATGAAAGCAGAATTTCACAATTTTCAAAAAATCTGTAGAACATGATTAACGAGATTACACATCAAGACACTGTTAGATTAAGACTATATCTGGCTGCATTCCACTAACTCATCAGTTTTGCTCTATAGTATACAGTGTGTAAAAACATCAGACATGGAGGCTATTGTTCTCTATGGTAGATGCAAGTGTCAATGTTTAATAATAATAATCAACTTTTGTAATGGTGACCAGTAAATTGTAACAAAGCAGTGGCTCCTGTGTCCACCAGAGAGAAAAGCTCCTTAGGTGGAAACTTCCACATACTGCACCGCAAGTCCTAAATGCAGGACATTTGGACTGATAAGCTTTTCACTTTGCAGGGAAATTTTCCCTTAGCTCAGTGAATGAGGTAAACTACTGAAAATACTGTTTTCTTTATTTTCCTTCTTAGTGATTAGGTATTCTTTGCAAAATGAATTTTTGCCACATTCACTATGCTAAAGGAAAATTGCCTTGCAAAGCAAACAGAATATTTGCCTTTAATAAAGCAATTCCATAGTGTCAAATCATGTGAGCACCAGCCCTTATTCTGTTAAGTAAGAAGATTATTTTGAAATGTAAATGTTACAGAAAAACAATTTTCAAACCCTGCAATATACTACAATGCAGTCTACTAAAGTATTCCAACAAATGTTAACATGTACAGGTTTCTAGGTAATTTGAATGCATTCACTAAATCATTGTCAGATTAATGGAAGTTGGGAATTCAGATGTGTTATACCCAAGGCAAAGACACAAATGCATTAACATGGAAGTCACTGTTGAGCGATGTAAATTTAAAAAATATCTGCAGATGTAATATGTTCTAAACCCATAAAGTAGAACAGACATTCTTATTATTCAAAGCGATCTTACCCAATTCATCAAAATGAGTTTCAGTTCCATCATCATCCATCACTGAACACACAAGCCGGGCCTTTAAAAAGGTCGTCCACTTGTTAACAAGACTTCTTTGTCCACCAATGTCATTCTAGAATAAAAACATAAAGAGAAAAAAATCACTCCATTAGTAAAATCCCCGCACTGTCTATTTTTTTGCAGAGTAAATGTGTAAACTATACTTTTATAGCATCATACTCTTCAAATCTTGTAGCAAAACAAAGGGCAAATGCTGGTTTGTATTACATATTACAATTACTTTTCATTTGTAATTCTAATTTTTTTATAAGTTGCCTCCTTATACAGTATTTAGAATATGTAATTCATAAATTGCTTCAGATGGAAGGAAGCAAGCATTGCAAAATAGATTTGAACTAAATAGATGTAAGAGCATTTTTAAGAGTGCATGCCCTCATTCCAGCATCATCAAGAACAGGAATACACTTAAACTGTCCAAACCAGATGTACTTAGTACATTTTATTATACTGTAGGGGTCTGCTGGAGATAAACACAATACAACTTACTGGGCAAACTCTTGCTATCATAGAGTGAATCTGCCTGGTGCTCCCACTGTTGTCAGTCAGTCTCTCTTTCAGAAAGAAATAAACCTTTGCATCATTTGGATCTGTTCCATCTGGAAGAAGCTGTGCATCCACAAAAATTGGCTCTAGAAGGCATAATATATTATTTGACAATACACTTTTAAAATAATTAACTGTATATCTGGTTAGACAACCATATCATCTATGTTTTTTGAAGGGAAAATACTAATTAACCACTTGACAAGCAGGATGTTAAACCCCCTTCCTGTCCAGGCCATTTTTCAGTATTCAGCGCTGCAGTACTTTGACTGCCATTTATTCATTCATGCAACGCTGTACTGAAATGAATTTTATATTATTGCTGGGGGACAAATAAAGCTTTCTTTTGGTGGTATTTAATCACCACTGCGTTTTTAAATTTCTTTACTATATAACCAAAACATTACCGAAAATGTAGAAAAAAATGTTGAAATAATTAAACATTTATTATTACTCGATTTTTTGGGTAAAATATAAAAGATGGGGTTCCGTTGGGTAAATAGATCCTATGACAACATGTCAAGCTTTAAAATTGCATGCGCCTGCGAAATTGCAAAAAACTACCATACCCCAAATTGGCCATATGGCGACGCTTTAAAAGCTTTTACCGCTCATCAGTTTAGTGTTAACAGTGATTAATGGCCATAGAATTATTGTACATGCTTCGGCATTCATGGTGGTAGTAACATGTGCGGAGCAATGTTGATTTTCGCACGTAGGCGCATTCGACGCATGTTTGTGTGTGCATGTGAGGAGGGGATGTCACCTAGGGACCCCCAAAAAAGCAGATGAAGCAGAGATCTGCTTCATCATTTTCCATCCGGCTACTGTAGCTGGAGAATGACAGCTGAAAGCGGAAGTGATGTAATATACATCACTCCTGCATTCAGAGACCGGAGAGGAGATCAGCAGGAGATTGTATGCTGATGTCCCCCCAATCTCTGGTCACAGGTCCTGCATGGGGCACAGCGTAGCTCGGAATCAGCGTACAATACAGTTCTACAGCTGCCAGAATGTTTGTATCTAAACAGCCATCTCCAGCTGTTTGAAATTAAAGCAGTTTTTCCGCTCGTGCACAAGTTGGGCAGTGCGCACGATTGGGGGTGAGGAAGGACGTTTATAAACGCCCACCCGTATAATTACAACAGCCAGACTTAAAGTGGTTACAAAAACAAGAACCACTTTTATATCAGCAAGGGGAAACGTTTGTGGGCCATCAGACCTATATAAGCTAATTGGACACCCCATTCCAAATAATAACACATTGCCTCCCCTTTGTAGCTATAAAATCTTTCATTCTTTTAGGTAAACTTTCCACACAATGTTGGAGTGTGTCTGTGGGGATCTGTGCCCATTGAGCCAAAAAAGTATTTTTGAGTGCAGGTACTGATGTTGGATAAGAAGACCTGGCTCACAACTGGCATTCCAGTATATCCAACAGGTGTTTAGTCTGGTTGAGGTCAGCATCTGTGCGGGCTACTCGAGCTCCTCCACTCCAAACTTATCAAACCATGTGTTTATGAACCTTACTATGTGCGCAGGGGCACAGTCATGCTGAAATAGAAAAGGGTCTTCCCCAATCTGTTGCCCCAAGATTTAGAGTACACAATTGTCTAAAAAGTCTGGCATTAACAGTAAACTTCACTGAAAACACCTGAACTCAATTATTTAGAGGGGTATCCACATATTTATGGTCAAATTGCATGTGTGATGCCCAGGTGTCCCTGATTTTTTTCATACAATATAGTATACCTGCATCCAACTCAAGCAACACTCTGTATGTGTCATTGTATTAAGGATTTTATCTATTGAAAATAACTCAATAATACAGTGATCTACAGCCTTTATCTTTAATAGACAAGAGCCTTGGGCACCAGAGCAGAGCATAGAGCAGAGCATCAGCAATGTTTGCCTAATGTGCTGGCCTGCTCAGCTTGGTTCAAATGTGGCGACTACAGGATCAAGCAGGCTGAAAATAATTAATATTTATTTTTCTCTTTCATTCGTTGAAGGACACAGCAGAGATCTTGATCTCTGTATCGATGGGTTATACTGCCACTTGCAGCAATCATCGGTAGAAGTGATCAAGATCTCCGCAGCGTCCATAAATGAACACAGAGAAAAGGATTTTACGGTGAGTACAAAAAAAGCCTACTTTTTGCAGTTCATTTTGTTTAGGCAGCAGGGAATTGGCAGGACCTTATATTTGCATGGGAGGCCCGCTTTCATTACATATCCATATTACATATTATGTACATTTTATGATATTCAAAAAAATATTTTATACTGAGAATTACATATTTTGCTTTAAAATACTTTTAACTGCATTTCTTCTAAAAGTTGGCTATTACATTAAGAATCTATATAAATGTTATACAGTCTGCCCCACTTATTTCAATATCTGCTTTCACTACTCGGGGTGTTGGAAGATTTTTCTAGTCACTTAAAGGGTGAGATCTTCACATTTCATTAGCTGAAGTGCCCAGTGCAGGAGAAAATGTCTTGATAACAGGTTTACAGTTATGCACAGCTTTACTTTATTTACTTTTTACTTAATTTAACCCTAAACTAATACCTAGGTGGAGCTTTCTTTTCAAAAACAAAATAAAAAAAGCTTACCACTTAACCACTTTGAATTGTGCTGATCAGTTCTTACAGCATTACGTTTTGTTAGACTTCGAAAGATAGCAGAGTCAGTGCCCATAAAATCTATATACATTCCAGAAAACAACTCTTCATCTATAATATAAATAACATATATGTCATTACAAATGCAACTCATGCATTTATTTTAAATATTGTTTTGGAATACCATATCAGCATATGTATTTCTTGACAAATCATTGAAAAATAAATTGTTCTATCAAAAAAAATCAACTGCGGTGTCTGTTATTCTTCAGATGCTCTTCAATCATTATTAAGATGGTAACAAACAAAAACAAAAATTTTGACCCATAAGAGTAGACTTTTTTTTGTTATTCAGCCACTTTTTGATGACAGTGATTTGTTTTATAACATAGTATGCATTAATTAGTACTAGGCCTGAATACATCCACTGATGGGGTGGGACCACCTGGCATTACTTACATTAGATAAAAGTCATTTTTTTGTATATATATATTCTTAGAAATCTTAAGAATGTTATAGCACTTAAACAGCTATTTTACTTCAAACACTGAAAAAAAAGGTACCATTGATAATATTTTCTTTTTTGCTCAAGATATCTGGCATTCTCCTCACTCAATTAGTGTTTTTAGTCGTTTGTCTGAACTTCTGCACCAATTTTCAATCCAGGAATAATATATCAATCAGGCTCTAAATCTTAACATAATATTACATGTCTGTGAACTGATATGTTATTTGTTCCAAACACAGTTTAATCTTATCACAGATATTATTTTCATCCATGTAGTAACCCTTATTGTGCAACTCATTAAACAGCATTCACTTACATTAATGTCCTATGGAAAGACTAGCTTTTGTCTAACCATTAGTGGGGTAAAATGAAGGTTAAAGGTACAAGTACGTGTAAACAGAAAGCCTGTATAGAGGAGCATTGCCCAAAGGTTTTTGGCTGTTCAATGAACCTGGCTTTTAGAAATGAATGCATTTGTCTAATTCTTGCCTGTGATCTAATTCTCTGGGATTGGATCTTGCTATCCACTGTTGTCTACAAACTCTTAGCTATCGGACTTTTCCAGAACTCCTCCAACCATAGAGTTACCAAAAGAAAGTAACCTGCTAACCTGTCCCAGTGTACTGCTGAAGGGATTTGGGGGGTTTGTTGAATGTCTTTCTCATTTCTCTTCATCTTTGAAAAAAAAGAGATTTGGTGTGGGATCCCCACTGAAATACCTTTTGACGTTTCTCATTTTTTTAAAGCCCATCTCTGGGGAATAACATGAACCTCCTTTAATCCATCCTGCATATTTTTTCTTACGTTGTGAAGAAAGACATACTGACCTAAGTCTGCCATCTGGGTTCCTGTTCCATCTGGGCGCATTTTCTTGTTGTGGCACTAGTGCAAAGCTGCAGACATGCCTGTGACAGTCGGTCCAGTCCTCCTGCTAACATCACTCCTGTTCTGCATACTGAGAGGACTCTGCCACTAGACAGTCAATAAAAAGTGTCCATATCACACAGCCTGTGACGTGGACACCCGAAAAAGGACCCTGCTTCATGTAAAATGAAAAGAAGACTCGGGACTAGAGAGTAATGTCATTGCGGTATTTAGATAGCTTTATTGTTTTCATGTCAGCGATTAGTTAAAAGGGGATGGGAGGGTGGGATGGGATGGAGTTCATGTTTTCCTCAGAGATCGGCTTTACCAGTAATGGAGGCCCCAATTGCAGATGATATAGAAGTTCAAACTGTATCTGAAGCAAAAACATTTTTTGTTATGGCCAGAGTAGGAAAGGATTACAACCTCTGTGAGGTTTTTTTTTTTAGATTTCCGTCAATTTGAAGATCTCCTCTCACTTCTTATTGTGTCTACAGGACAGGCAATGTTAGTGTGTTAGAGAGAGTGTAGTGTCTGCACATTGAGACACAGATGGTAGAAAAAAAACTGACAGGGCTTTTAACCATTCTCTACTTGATCCAAAATTTAAAACGTTTTGGTTTTACATATACGTTAACTTACACATATACCCAACGGTATAGGAAACGGTTTGGAATTCCACATAGTTTTCCTTTAAAGGCTATGCAAAAAAGTGGCATGTAAGTGGATTGTGGATTGATTTACTCCTGTGGTCCCTACATATGTACTAGTAACAATAAATTAAATTGGCATGCAAATGTAAGTACTGTACTAATATTAACATAATGATGTCACACTCTATGTAAAGGGTTTTGCCACTTTTTATTTGTTAAGAAAATGTAAACCATAATCCTTCCTTTGTAAAAGTGAATCTAGGAACTCTAGTAGTATTGCAAAAAAATCCTCACTGCTCCGATTCTGCAGCCCAGCTCACCCTGCATTAATGTAAACCAAAGAATAACTGCACTCCACAAGATACAAGTGATGCATTCCGTGTTTATTGATGCAAAATCATGTGTACATCACAGCAAGCTCCCCATAACCAAAGAGCAAAGAGTCTAGATACTCTAGTGTTCAATATGAAGCAAAAGAGTATATCCCACTCTCTGACTAGGCCCAATATAATTTGGCCACTTACAAGAAAACATTGATAAAATACTCCCAGTTCCTTTGATTTTTTCTTGAACATAGTACATTTGCATTCTCAAGGAAACAGGGAACTTGATAATCTAGGAACATCCAGCTACATGGCTTGTGTAGGAGTTAGTTTCAAGCATAAGGCTTGATGCCAAAATGTGTACAAAGAATTCTTGCCCTCATTTATTTTTCTGCATAACAAAATAAACATGAAAAAGTTCAATCTCACAGGATTTGTCAGATCACAAAACTGCAACACAAATCTTCAGCCTCCTGGCTGTTCACTGGACTGTTTGGTCAGCTCCTCGTTTCAGCCTGTTCTTAACACAGAATTAGGTTGATTACCTAAGGGCAAACATTCCAGCTTGCAAGGAGATTGGAACTTTGTAAGAGACATTTCCCTTAGCCTAGTGAATATGCGAAAATTCACTTTTCATGCTTACTCATGATTTGATAATGGAAGGCAGCACCGTTTCACCTCATACACTAAGCTAAAGATAAAATTCCCATGCAAAGTGAACAGCCTAATTTCCTTTAGTAAATCAACTCAAATCAGCACACTTGTAGTCTATTGACACTTCCTCTCATTCTTGTTACTGTATGTCCATAGCATGGTATGGACATGGATAGGAGGAACAGTCTGCAGGAGCCAGAGCATTGCAACTATGATCTGTGCTTTACTGGCTCCTATGCAAAAAAATAATGAATGCATATTTTTTCTTTTAAGAAAAAGTGTGCATTTAATGTTTTTCTGCAAAAGGTGGAATTATCCTTTAATTTTGTACTGTAGTCCCTCACTAAAAAGTAGATGGCCATGCTATGTATACCTGCTAAAATCATTAACCAGTTGAATGATGTGTTGGCACGAGCTACATTCACTTGCAGATGAAAACTAAAACTTAATGATAGTTATTAAACAATAAGTTTGAATACATTATTACTTAATTTCATCATCCATTGTGTGCTATAACTGTCATTCTGTAAAGTAAAATGTAAACATTATTCAGATACATAAAATGACATGTCTTTATACCCTGAAAAGTTTACGCCAAAAAAGTGTTATTAATATGTGTTGCATTAAAAAGTAGCATAAAAATAAGAGTTAGTTGATACTTACTGATCATAACAGAAACTGTGTTTATTTTTGGGTTAAAAGAACATCGCCCTTTTCCAGATTCATTTTTGTAATCGATCAAAAAAACACGATCCTGGAAGGAAACAGATTAAAAAGAAATAATGTCAGTAGCATACATTTGAATAAAAAACTATTACCGTATATACCCATCTGCTTGTTTTTCACTGCAAATTTTACTGCTATATAACAATTGTGTGGAAATGGAAAGCGCTAGTGATTTAATATCACTGACTAGCTACAATGTTTAATAGGTTCTTGCATTCAAATCTGCAGCACATGCTTTTAAATAGCCTTCTGTTCTTTAAATTATGAATAGTGCCTTTGATTTTTAGCGTGACTGTGCAGAAAGAATGTTTCCTGTGACCTTTTCTAGAGTACATTCTTGTGCTGTCAGACATGACCTAGTGCGGGGGACAGACTAGAAAATTTCTACATTACCTAGTGTGGAGGACAGAGTAGAAAATGTCTATCAACATATAATGCAGATTTGAAAACTGTGGCATTCAATTTTAAATCAATCTTTTTTTAAAGTTATTTTTTTTCTCAAATATTTGGTTATTAGGTACAGTATAACCATGAGAAAAGAAGCTATTTTAAAAACAAATCAAAATTGTATGCGCATAAGTAAATTCCTACCCTTGCCCAACATTTATGTCAGAATGGTACAGCCGAGAGGACACTGCAAGTGTCCATATCACCCAGGCAGTGATGTGAACACCAGAAGAAGGACACTCCTAATCTTCTGTAGAACGAGAGAAGACTTTAGACCCTGCAAGTTACATTGTGACCACAGATTTAGCTAAGGATTCTTGTTTTTTAGATTCATTTTGTTCAATGTACTGCAGCGATCGGTTAAAAGGGGATGGAGGGTAAAGGGTGGGGTATGGTAAGAGCCTAAAACCTTTATAAATCAGCTTCAGGTGTGTACCACTGAGTATATGGCTATCGCATTCAGAACTACATTCTTTGCTTTAACTCTATTAAGGCTGTTGACTCTCCTGCACATTCTGAAATGTAGTGACAACTGAAACTCAAGTTACAGCTAAAAAAAAAGGGGCTACAGATTATGTAGTCTTTCTAACAGATATTTTGCAGACACATGATACATTAAAAGGAATCTGACTCAGTGTTAGCTAATCTTAGTTGCATTAGGCAGTGTACCTCAGATCTTCGGCCTCGGTTGACATATGTGCATAAAGGACTGAAGGCTCCACTTCCACATACGTATAAGTGAGTTCGGTTGAAGCTCTGAATAACACGTACAAAATTACCACAGCCATGCTATGAAAAAAAAAAAGAAGAACAAACATACTGTAGTTCATCAAAATGCAATACAAAGCCCAACTTAGTAACTACATAATATAGTTCTACACATAGATTTAGCTCTGTTATCTATCTGGGTGACTCAACAAAATCTTATACACTAGATTTTTTACAGTGTAGATTTTTCTCTAGTTCTTGATAAATTAAATACACCATAGCTGTCAAATACTCCTCCTCCAAATGATAGCTTAACAGACAAAGCAAACAGTCTGCCATCACCAGAGTGGAGTGTCAGAAGTATTCTGGCCCACTGCCATGTTGATACTAGCAGGTGATTTAAAAAGAGCATCTAGAAAAAAATTCTGCTATTAGCCAAATCGTATTCTAATCTTGAACACTAACCTGATTTGCTTGTGGATATCTCCCGATATTGAACAATTTATGGCTGATCCTCTGCACTTGAATTAAAAATTTTTTCTTTTGCTCTGTCCTGATTATTTTTAATGTGTCCCTCCCTACCCCAGTTCAAAGTGATCTGGGAAACCAGGTGTAACACATGGTATTACCATATGACTGTACATAGATTTTATAGTTAAATTTAATTAATATTTTCAATAATATGTTTAACAGGATAAAAGGGAGGAAATCAGAGACGTTTAATGTTAGGGTTTACATACACTTTAAGATAGGCCCTGGTACAATGTAGTTGTTAGTAAATCTAACTGAGATTTTTCAGAGATTGTGACCAGCATCACAATCCTGTCAAAGTTATTTTATTTTCAATTTGCTGTATTCAAATGAGCATTGATTAAAAGTTGTAGTAACAATGAAGATATTAAAGAAGAAGTACCACCAAATTGTTGAATTGTCCAGGGGACCAAGTGCATGCAGCTTGGTTGCAGAGCTGGTGTGGTCAACAGAGCACCCTACCTCTCCCACCACTATTCAATCCCACTGCTCAGCAGGAGATGCATACCTATTTAGATTTGAGTGACAGTGTTTGTATCTGGCAATAGGTGTGCTGTCATTCACCACTGTGTGGGGAGTACAGCCTTTCTGTATGAGGCTCCTGTGTACATCTTGTTCTTACTGGCACTGATCTACCAGCAGCAGCAGCTCTTCCATTTCGAGCCCCACTCATACCAGCCTCTTACTTCATTTTTCCTGCTGCTAGCAGCTGCAGCCCCTCTGGAAAATAAAGCATCGCACCTGCCCAGAGAGAAGGAAGCAGAGCACTGCACCAGATTCTGTTGTTCACCACAAGCAGCATGTACAAAGAATACACAATATATGGCACTTCCCAGATAGATTCACAATGATGTTCTGAGTAATTAAAGTGAGTGGGCTAGGTGTGAATATCCCTGTGTTAGTAGGAGCTCCTTGTGCCTCTCTCCTCCTACCCCATCAGCACTGTATGAAAGGAATATGCAGAATGTGCAGAGCTGCATTGTGGGAAGTCAGGGGTGCATTGTATTCACAGGCACACTACTCTGTAAAGGAAGCAATTCCAACCCGTACAGAGGACTGTATACACAGAGGAGAGTGAAAGGTGGCTACAGTGTTGTGCTGTATAGCTCCCCCCTAGCACTACCTGTAAATTGGGCTTCAGTATGGAGTGGAGCTGACAGTCAGCAGAAACCGAAAAGAAGAGGTTAATTTGTTGCAGAACCACATCACGGAGCAGAATGGGATCAAGTGCTACAAGCACTTGGTCCTCTGGAGAATTTGTCAACAGTTTTTTAACAGTGGCCAGTTTAGTCTAAAGTTGAGATTATACTACTGAACTAGAAGAGGTGTATATGTCCTCATTACTGATTGACTTTTTTTTTTTTTAGAACTTGTAATAAAATAGATAGAATAGCCATTGGGCTGGAGAGCGCTTCTGCTATGCAGCTGCCTGCTACCCTGTATATGGCCAATTCATTAGCATCTCACCCATTAGACAAGTAAGTACTATCATATTTGTTGATTTGTTTTTCACATTTAAAAAAAATATTTACTAGTCACTAAAAAATATGAACTATCAACTGTTTAGCAGTTGCAATCCAGCACTAATGTTGAAAAAACATGCTTTAAAGAATGGAATAAATACTAGCATGTTATAGAAAAAGGCCAATGATTGCAATTTACTTTTCATTAGGTGGTGACAGGTGCACTTTAAAAATATATTTAAAAAAATCCTAATTCATACTTGCTTTGCATTAGTGCCACATAGTTTCACCTTATCCATCTAGGCAATTAAATGTAGCTTTTTTTTCGGAATAAATAATTATGCCAGTATATTTCTGCATCTGCTTGAAAACCCAGATGGTGACAAATTAAAACAGATAGCAGACGTAAGTAAAACAAATGTCTACTAGGTGTAATTTGTCAGACTTCACCAGCCTTCAAGATAAATTGGTTTGTTTGTATGATCATTTACACATTCATACATGATATATTACACTGTATCCATGGAACCATTCTGCTAAATTTCACAAGGACTTTTATGACTTAGAAATTATCCGAAAACCTAAAGGGTATTTGTCACAAAGCGAAATGTCTATGTGAGAAGCCCTAGACCGAAGCTGCAGTTTTCTCATTTCAAGGCTGCATACTAATGCTGATTCAGTGAAGCTGAGCCTATGGAGCTTTACTAGTAATTACATCAGTACCCTAGAAGTAAGATTTTTAAAAAAAATGGCACCTTAATGGCTAGCACCACACGCAAGGGTTAACTGCTTGTTTTTGTCATGGTTAAAAAATGCTATACTCACCTGATCCATGGAGCCAGCCCATTTTAAGCTGGCCATACAACTATAGAGTTTCTGCAGATTTTCTATGGTCAAATCGAAAATGTGCAACAGATTCCTCCATCTACGCTAAACTGTGTGGATGGAGGAATCTCCCACTGGGCCAAGCTTCAGTATCTTCCTAGTCGGCACCATTGGCTGTCAAAATACCTCAACAATCTGATTGGATACAGGCATTGTTCAGGTATTTTGAGAGCCAGTGGGGCCGACTAACAAGATACTAAAGCTTGGCCCAGTGGGAGATTCCTCCATCCACACAGTTTAGTGTAGATGGAGAAATCTGTTGCACGTTTTCCATTTGACCATAGAAAATCTGCAGAAACTCTATAGTTGTATGGCCAGCTTAAAATTGGCTGGCTCCATGGATCAGGTGAGTATAGCATTTTTTAACCTTGACAAAAACAAGCAGTTAACCCTTGCGTGTGGTGCTAGCCAGATCCCTTCCACCTTGCCCCCCCTCCACTGCAGTGGTCTAAGGTCCCGTACATCATCATGTTCTATACACTGTGTATCTGGTATGTCATTTTAATATAAAATGGTTTACATATTTTTACTTTTAGTTTTATGCTCAGAGAAAAAAACTAAATAATGTACTTTCCAAATGATGAAATTAGTATGCCAAGTTTGTTTGAAGTTACATTCTGGCCCAAGAAGCCAAATAAGTCATAAGTGTGGTATTTGCATGCAAGACAGTGTACTTGTAAGCGGGAAACAGCAAGACTGGGTCAATTCTCATGTGTAAGTCATTGTTGGAAAATTGGATTAACATTTTATTTTGAAGTGCACACTTGAGTTCAAAACAATTAAATGTTCTCTTCACATTGTAAATCAAAGTCACAATTATACAGCTTGTCTTTACAAAAAAGTTGTGATACATTTTTAAAAAGTGCAAATTTAAGACTTTATGGTCCGAATTAAAGAGAAACTCTACCTTTTGGGTTTATATTGTAAGGAAAAGCATGAAAGTAACAAAACTGTAGAAGTGTTCACCTGTCTAAATTAGTCATGCTTGCAGAAGATCTTTTGGCATAATCTAATTTCAGTAACAATTTTCCAGTTTTGTCATTTTTAGAGTAAAACTAAGTTGCTTATTGTGTAATTATCTGGCCATCTACTTTTTAAAAAACAGGCAGACATATCGTTAACTGTAATATAGAGGCATGATATAAAAACCAAAGACAAAGCAGATCAATAAGAAACACAAGATCACCAATTGTGAGATAATAAATATAGTGTGATTTTTAAGGCTGTTCATAAACTAGTTCCCTAAAACAAACAGGTAAAGTTCCAAACCAGAAGCATGGAATTGTTGGGGACTTCCAGAGTTTTGTCAAGCAGACATAAACTATTACAGGCAAAATTTATATTCCGAGACAGAAGTTCAACTGTAGCAGGTTGGGGCAACATTTTAAAGTGAAAGATGATATGTCTCCAAAAAATGAAATAAGATTCATTTTGGTAAAGTGATGCATGGCCGAGTAATTGTCAAACTATCACAGCACTAAAAACTTAAAGCATACCTAAACCCAGAAGCATTTAAGATATTTCAGCTTACCAATTCTTAACGTTGTGTTAAAATCAACATGTTTTTAAGCTATTTCCAATGCTGATTGTTTTTTCTAGTAAGCTGTGTGTGTCTTTACTAACACGCAGGCACAGCAAGGCAAACCACTGCCCTTTTCCCTTCTCTAAGCTAGTAGATGGACAGCTGCTGAAGATTGTGCTATCCCTTGTGATCTTGTACTGTGCAGGAAGTTCACAAAAGTCTTGCAATGGTTGTAAGGTGTATGGGCACCTTAAGACAGGAAGTGTGTTACTGGCCAGATCACCAGGTGAAAATAAAGGAAAAAAGTCTGAAAAAAGAAAACTATTGCAGCCACCACATTTAAGGATTGGTAAGTTGCAATATATAACATTTTTGTTTTTGGGTTTAAACACACTTTAAGGGTTATATACAGACTGGTCAAGTGGTTAAGCAAGGGAATGGTCTATAAAAATAAGCTACATATTTTTTAACTGCCCCTACTTATTAGAACTCTACTGGACTCTGTGTTTTCAATTAGCCAAGGAATGTCATTAAAATTAATATTGTTATATTTGACTTTGGATTGGATAATTAAAGAACAACTAAATGCCCTGGTTTGTGTCCTGTAAAACACAAAAAATACCATTGAACAAAATAAAAGATGTGGAAGCTGAATAATAACAAAGCATCCTTTCTACTACAAAATTTCAATCATAAACTATTATATGACTTTAAATTAAGGTGGTCTGCAGGTTTTGCAATTAGAAGACAAATGATGCACAGTTTATCTTTCCTTCATCCATATCAAAATATTTAATCACCATAGGGAAACATCCTGAACAGCTTTCATAAATGAGAACATGGAAGGAAGGAAAATATTTTGGTTCCTATATAAATACTACTTATGCAAAAAAACTTAATACGGAAAAACAGGCAACATAGTATGAGCTAAGATGGATAAAAATTATTATTTATAAAAAAACAAAGTACATTTTATTGCAATAAAAGTTCTGGAAATTTGTTCAAGATGTTTATAAGCAATGATTTTGACTGAACAGGTTCATTTGCAAATGCATGCAGTAATGCCATCACTCCACGGAGGATATCTAGTAGGAGCTACACCCTTCATTTTATTGTTTGGCTGCAAAGACCTCAACCTGACTCAGAGAGCAAGTATTCTCCTGTATGACTTACTGTGGGATCCTTGCCAGCCATCTTGCACTCTTCAACTTTGTGTGGTGTAGCTGGCCAGAAAACCTAGTTGCAAAAGAAAAAAAAAATATATATATATATAATATCAAACAACATCCGAGATATATTACATCATTGTATTATGAAGGATATTATATTTTTAATACAGTTGGTAAATTGGAAATGCCAAAAATCCTCATATTAGGATTCTCCCAATGTTATATTAATGTAGACACCTTAAGCTGTTTTATGTGATTGGACTGTATTTTAACATGCTCCACGTGAGCTTAACACTGGTGTTAAAAAAGAGCAATACAAAAAAAAAAAAAAAGATTACAGATGTGTGAACAGTAAATTTAGAATCAACACAATAAAAGACAAAATACAGGTCTTTGGGATCTTTACTTAATGGGTGAGGTTATCTTTTCACAAAAAATGAAAAGGTGAACCAACTTACAACACACCCCCACCACCCCTCCAGTCTTCGCTGCACTTACCTGTAATGATGACCTTCGCCTGCTGCTCATGCCAACCCATATAACAGTCCCGGGAACTTGAAAATCAGTTCAAATCTCTTGTTTCTTCTGGGATGGAAGAAAGAAGGCTCAGAATTGATTACTGTGTTCACATGGCTGCACTGACCAATGACTGCTCTCCATTAGGAGCACTGTATTGCTATACAACCTTGGAGGCTGTGTAGTGAAGTTTTCAAGCACCGGGACTGTTACACAGGTTGGCATTGGTGGTAGATAAGTGCAGAGGAGACTGAGGGAAAGGTATGTGATGAGGACAGTGGGAGTTAGTTAGTTAGTTAGCTGTTTCTTTGGAGCAGAATTATAAACAGGACAGCAAAAGCACTGAAAAAGTAAGCATCAATTTTTGGATCTTGCTATGCCAATGGGAGCATGTAACAAATACAAAACTGGTATTTTCCCAGTTTGGTTCCAGCAGTGTAATGTCCCGCAGCGTTGAAGACCCATGGGTTCTTAAACCACCCGAGTGGAGGGAGAGAGAGGTTGCGGGGACCGCTCTAGCAGCCAGGCATGCTTGAGGTTTGGGTGAGTATATTATTGTTATGTTAGCTCCCTAGACTAAATGAGCACTTAACCCTTGCAGTGCAGGGGTAGCCCCACTGTAAGGATTAAGATTTCATATGCCTGAAGTTCTTCTTTAAATCAGCTGTGTTGCATTCAAATGCCTCTCTGTGTACTGTGCTTGGGTGTTATCATCAGTCCAATTTGTATCATATCTCAAACTTGACATTCCAGTTTGCTTATGTCTAAAACAGAATGATTGGTAATTAGTTATGAATGTTGGTTCCAAAACATAATGCACAAATCTCTATTTATGATAAGGGAGAACTTTCATTACACAGAAGCATTTGTTACATCTCTCTGACTTATTACTTGTTTTTTTATAAAGGAAAACTTATAAAACTGTTTCTTGAAAATATAAGGCTGCAAAACAAACTATGATAATGTAATATCTGCTTAACACACCTACAGTGTAAATATGTACAATGCCATACAAAGCAAACTTACATAACATTTTAGTTTAACAAGTGTAAATCAGTCCACAAGTGTACTTATACAGGTCCCTAACCTTGAAAGTACATGATGCTCCTCACTTTTTACTGGATTCACAGTGCTAAACAGCAGTATTTCACACATAATTACCTCTTCCTGGCAGTACTGTGTTTTTTATCATCATAAGTTTATTCTGTTACATATCCTTTGATATTGGCGGTAATATCAAGCTATTGACCCCATAAACCAAAGTCATCTGAGGATAACACTCAGGCCAGTTAGTCATCAGGATCAATAGGATGCTTAGAGTTTATTTGAAATTATTTTAAACAATTCCAGAAGATGACTGCTGAGGATCCATATTACACTATGTGTGTGGTTATGGTGCAATCAGAAGTGAATGAAACCATACATTCTGTTAGAAATAATTGGACACTTTAAGAATATTATTTTTCTTTTACACCATGTGTAAATCCACTAAAGTATTCTCCACACAGCATCAGCTCATGTACGTTTAATCAGTAGAAATGAAAACAAGTTGTCTAAAATATTTCAACTCACCCAGTCAACATTTTAGATGCTGTTGTCGGCTAGTTCACCTTTTCATTTTTTTGTGAAAAGATAAACTAATCCATTGAGTAAAATGTAAACATTCTAAAAACCTCTATTTTAACTTTTATTGTGTTGATTTAATTCCAGTTTACTACAAAGATACCCTAGTTATTTTTCTTTTGTGGAGACTGTATGGTGTCATAGTCCCAAACATTTTTAATTCATCTGAAGCCCTTTTCTTCTGTTTATTATAGGACTGCTTAAAAGGTTGGATTTGATGGACTAATGTCTTTATTCAACCTCAAATACTATGTAACTATGATCCAAAACAGTAATACCAACATCCACAATGCATTTATATTTGCTTTTTTTAATGCCTTACCTAAGTATAAATGTTTAGTGTTGTCTATCTTTTTGAGGAACCCAGTCTAAAATGTAATTGATTTTAAGATGGGAACCCAGATTGAAAAAAGTAAGGTTCCCCCTTCACATCAAAGTCCCCCTTCATATCAGAGCCCTCAGTTTTACATCAAAGGCACCCCAGGGTACATGGCACACTGGTTAAGAAAGGCTGCTTTATAATACATAAAAGCATTTTTTATGACTTTAAACATATATTGATATGCTTTGTAATATGGATACAAATATAAGCCCCCTTTTTGATAAGTATATTGGACAATGTTGTTTACAGAATTTAAACTACGTGACTAACATTAGTAAATTGGATAAATACAATTACTCTGGCTCCAATATGTCAATCATCTATTTATTTGCAGAACTATATTAATAAAGGTCGCCCTGGCCACTATGGGCCCGGGGGGAAATAGACCTTTGCTTAATGTCCCTGTTTTCATCCAGTCATGTCTTCTTTGAGGGCCAATTTCAGCAGTGCCAAATACAGAATGAACTTTAGGAGCTGCTTGAATTAGATGATTTTACAATGGAACATTCTAGAGCTGTCAATGCTTTAATCATTATTTTATTAGCAGGATGCAAAAATACACTCATAACATTATTGACTTTACAAAGGTAATTTATCCCTTCATGCCCAGATGAAACTTTAACAACATTAGTATGCACTGGTTTACCTTGACAATAACTATATGACTAATTGAACTCCCTAAATAAGGTCATATAAGGATTACAATGTTTTTATAGATATTATAGGCTGAAAAATGCAAAACAAAATATGGGAAAAAAGGTTATCCTTTTATATTTTTGAATTTTTTAAACACTGTACTTTTTTTAATAAAGTATTAATTTTTCTGTGTACAGTGAGTTTACATAGAAAGAAATACACTGACAGCTGCAAACTGCAAGGTTTGTTTACTAATGAATCTCATGTGATCATATGATCGGGAACCACACTGATTGGTTCTTGATCACTAGAGCCTGGGTTCTCTCAGTGACAGTGCAGTCTCATAACTGGGAGTGCATACAGCCCAAAACTCCTAGCTGTAAATATGAACATAGACTGCAGTTCCCTTAGCATGGGGCATCATGCTGAGGGAGGTTAATCTACAGGTTGAAGAAGGCAACTGGTTAAGCACCAATTTCAGTACAGAGTCTCTCCATTTCAGACTTTTCTATGTTCTAAAAATGCCCTGCCCCTTGCCAGTTTTACACACATCTAATATCTGTGGGCTGACGCACCTAACAAATGTATAAAAATCTCCCCTGTGCCTTGTGTCTCTAAATTGCAACATATTCTTGCTCATCAAAACTGTTCTACAGCCAGCCTGCTTTTACACAGCTATATCTGAGAGTTTAATAGAAAGTGGCCAGTGTCAGCACAATTTAGTATCAACGAGAATAGAAAAAGCCTCAGCAAACCATTATCCTCTATCTATCTGCCAGTCAAAGCAGGCCTTTTACCACTTGATGAACATTCACTCGGCTGCCCTCGGCAGCTTCGTGAATAGACCCCTATGTGTCATTGCTAAAACTGCCTGACAAAATCCGGATTCAATCAGATTTGGGTGCTGCTACTATATATAAGCCAAGGTAATTGTAAAATAAATAGTACTGTTCTGCAACCCCACATACAGATTGAAGCCAATCCCTAATCTGTATTTTGTACTTGTCCATGTCCACCACAGCGCTACATGAAAAAAATCGTCTAATCACTCTACAGTATTGTTTGCATTGGTACATATCCCCATGGCAGTGCCCAGTTTGCTATGCCTTTTTTATACACTAGTTTGCTTATTAGTCCAAAATTACCATAACTGCCCACAACTGACTAACAATTGTTTGCCCCCATAAACTACAATGCACTACAATCTCAATACAAATGAGTAAACAAAACATGAGATTGTAGTCCATCACGGAGCGAACTTGGAAACGGTGTCTACAACACACATAGGGACCATGGGCAAGAAAAGTAGCCACCCTTCAGAAGGAAGGACAGTGTCAGCTCCAATTCAGAGATGATTTGAGCATATACAGCTAATTGCTACACAAATAAGGTCCACTATTGTTAATAGTTAGGGTACTTGAATGCATTTTTAAAATGTAACCCCTGAGTTTAGTGTCACTTTAAGCTGGGTATACATTTTCTTTGTTTAATCTGAACAAAGAAAACCTAACACATTCCTCCATCCACGCTGAACGGTGTGGTTGGATGAATCCCCCGCTTTGAGCATTGTATTCTGACAGTGGCTGCCGGACACTGTCAGAATACCCAAAACAGTGCTTGCAGCTAATTAGCTAAAGGTTTTCCAACATGTTCCTTCAGCAAAATGATTGACTTCTGCCAATGAAATAGGATACACATGGCGCTAATTTGGCCAAATTTCTGCTAAATTCTGCTGAACTTCGCTCCATGTGTACCCTACTTTAGCCACGGGGTGGATCCTGACAATATCGTTGGGATCCTTCCCAGCTGCAGTGTGGCTCTGCACTGTCAGCAGATAGTTGGCAATAGCCCGCTATCTACTGACGTTTGATCATGGGACTACGTTAGTAAATGTACTCCCGTGACCCAAAAGAGAAGCAAAGCCAAACAAGTTATAAGCCAAGCCAAACTATTCACATGTGGCTTTGTATTTTTTTTGCTTGTTTATTTTTTTTCTTGACTGTAGTTTCCACATTCACAATACAAATTGTAAATAGACACTGTAATCAATACTATTAATTTTAAAACCACCAGCCCGAGCTGAGTAACTGGTGGTCACTTCTCCCTGTTCCATCCAGCACATTTTCTATCAAAACTGACCACACCTTCTTGGCTGGACTTTCTTCTTGCATTTTGTTGAGAGCTCAAGAGGACTGTGTATGTGTGGGTTAGAAGGCACGAATGTACTCGCCCTCTCTACTGGTTATATGTATGTCAGGTAGAGTCTTTCCAAATCCCTTAATAACAACTAGCAGGATTACAATTTCTCCCTCATAAAGAATGTGTTGTATTGGTTTAAATCCGATAGATAAATCAGGACAATTAGGATAATTAGGACGATTTAGACCAGATTTCAGGAGACCCAGTAGTGCAAATATATTCTTTCAGTCAAACTCAAACAGGGTCTTGTTCCTCTCCAAACCTGCGACTGACAGTGAAAAGAGAAGCAACAAGCCTTTAATAGCACACAAACTACATCACAACTGACTGGCTCCTAGTGCTGATTCTCTCTCTCCCAGTCTGAGCTGTACTATACAGGGACTATAAGACGCTAATGCCAGGTCAAATTTAGGTACTTATGCTGCTTGCATTATAAAAATACACTTGCATCATCTGTTACAAAAACTTTTCTGATGGTCTACATATACATTTTTTATTATCACGTGATCATATGCCTAGTTGTATTGTTCATGTAAAACCAATATAGATCTTGGAAACAGAAAAAAAATACACTCGGGGGGCTAATTTGTAACTCTTCCTTTGCTCCTCAGCTCCATCTAGTGGTGGCAGTAACATGTGACTGGCATCTGCCCTGCTACACGCTGGGCGAAAGAGTTGTAAATCAGCCCCTTGATGTATTACAAATGTATTAATGAATACATAGCTGCATTAGTAATTTGTGTTAATCAAATGAATTAATGCAAAATTGGACAGACTCTGCCATTCAGATATACAAGTAACTATATAAATTGTTTGTGGTAGGTTGCCTTGCTGGAAATTGTCAGAAAACTGCTTTGAGTTTGGTCAACATTAAAGTGACACTAAACTCAGGAGATAAATGTTAAAAATGCATTCAAGTACCCTAATTATTAACAACAATGCATCTTATTTGTGTATCATTCATCTGTAGACCCTCAAATCATCTCTTAATTGGTGCTGACGCTGTCCTTCCTTCTGGTGAGTGGTGACTTTTGTTCCCCATGGTCCCTGTGTGTGTTGTAAAGTAGCCACCACACGAAAATCACTTCCAAGATGGACTACAATCTCAATACAAATGAGTAAACTAAATATGAGATAGTCCATCACGGGAGCGAGCTTGGAGCGGTGGATACTTTACAAAACACAAAGGGCCATGGAGAACAAAAGAAGCCACAATCTAGAAGGAAGGACAGTGTCAGCACCAATTCACAGATGATTTGAGGATCTACAGCCGACTTATACACAAATAGGATACATTTACGTTAATAGTTAAGGTAGTTAAATGTATTTTTAAGATTTAACTCCTGAATTTAGGGTCAATTAAGGCCTTTATCTAGCCATCCAGCCATAGACAATAGATGACAGTTATATGTTAGGAAATAGCTCTCTGAGATCATTGAAAAATCCCCCTCACACACTCATACACACTGAATGAACACTACAGTAGCTTGAGGAAGTAAAAAATCTAAACATACAACCAATCTTATCTTATCGACTTACACTGAGAGGATCGTGACTAATGTTGTTAATATTCAATGACAGTATATGATCCTTGCTGCCCACATAGATTCTGTCCTGGTCTTCATCCATTAACAAGATCCTGTAGTCCAGGGGGTTCTGTGATATACTGTAGTATTCAGATGTCTGTGTGTCCTTAAGTTCTAAAACAAAGAAGAAGAAAAAGATTACTCTGTAAATATCTTATGTAGATAATTATGATAATGGTTCATAAAAAGGAGCAAGCAGTTCAAAAGAAAAGTGACTGATTTATTTTTCTTTAAAGCAAGTTTTAGATAAGGCACAACATTCAGTAATGAGAATGACATGTCAGAAATGATGCAAAATTTGTTTTTTGCGTTTGAATACACTGTTAAGCAAACATGCTGTCCCTTTCTTGTTTCTAGATGCAATGGTGTTGATTTACTAAAGGCACAGATCATGTTCACTTTGCAAGGAGAATTTCTCTTTGCTTAATAAATGTGAGGAAGCTGTGCTGATTTCAATCATCCAATTATGTGCATGGAAATGTTTTCTTTATCTTTGGGTATTCTGTAAATTTTAACTATATGTACTACTATTTTACACTTTTAAAGCAAACATTTACTTGAAATGTGAACATGATCTACTCCTTTAGTAAATTAGCACCAGAAGCTCAAAGAAGATATCTGACTACAGTTTTCTGATGCAGACTGCAGACAAAGCTGAGCACTGCAAACAATGTACATACCGCATGTATTTTATATCTGTTGTAAAGTGATCTTAATCTTCAGCACATAGGGGTCTATTCACGAAGCAGCCGAAGGATCTAGCTGTAGCTTCGGCTGATCCTTCGGCTAGCTTCGGCCCCAAGACCCCTTCGGTTCAGAAAAACCGAAGGGCTGCGGTACACAATAGGAATCTAGCAATGCATTCCTATGGCGAACATTTTTTATTTATTTTTTCTTGACGGCAGCAGAACCGCCGGCCAATAGAAAACAGTTTGGCGGAGCTAGCTGTCACTGCTAGCTCCGCACGATCGTCTTCTCTTTATTTTTTTCTACTTTTTAAACTATTTTTCTGTTCTGCTTGGTCCCACAGAGGGAGCGAGCAGAACCAGGGACGCTGATCTCTCTGCAAGTGGCCGGAGCCCGCCGTGAGATGACGGCTGGCTCTGCCCAGCTGTCAGAAGCAGGCTGTCGGCCGGCCATTCGGCCAGCTTTGCCTTTCACCGCTCGGCCAACTTCGGGAGCTGCGGGTGGGGGGGCGTGGAAGCGGTGCCATTGAATACAATGCACCGCCACGCCCCCTCCCACTCCAAAACGCGGGGAGAAGTTTCACAGTGATCGCGGTGCGTTCCACTTTCCACTTTCAGTGTGAACAAGCCCTAAAGAAAACATTGACATCATGATCCTTCTGTGGAGAACCTGAGTGATGAGGATTCCAAATGCTTTTGCACAGTGCTTGTGCATCTTCACATGAGATTTGGAATACTTATATTCCAACATAGCTGAACTGGAAAGTTAGCTGCATTGGATAATTTTTCCAAATCAGCTATTTTGTCCTAGATTGTTCACTTATCCTGCCTTCTCCAAACTCTTCACACTTTTGTGAATAAAGCTGGCCATATACCTATAGATTACCTTCACATTTTCTACGCTAAACTGTATGGATGGAGGAATCTCCCACTGGGCCAAGCTTCAGTATCTTGCTAGTTGGCTCTGCTGGCTCACAAAATACCTGAACAATGCCTGCATCCAATCAGATTGTTCAGGTATTTTGACAACCAGCGGGGCTGACTAGGAAGATACTCAAGCTTGGCCTAGTGGCAGATTGCTCCATCTATACAGTTTAGCGTGGGTGGAGTAATCTGTTACACTTTTTCCATCTGACTATAGAAAATCTGCAGAAAATCTACAGGTGTATGGCCTGTTAGAGTTTGAAGGATCGTGCCAGATGTACTGTAAATACACCCTCTCCAGTGCACTTTTTACAGCATTAATGTGGCCCTTTGAAGTGGAGATGGCAGGCTTGATGTATGAAGTGGACCTTGCATTATACTTAAAAGTCTGCTTTAAGAACAATTTTAAGAGTATTTTTAAACACTTTTCACAGGCTCCTAAATAAATGAAATAATTCCTCTGACTTTTAAACATAAATAATAAAAAACATATCATAAAGCCAATAAAAAAGAAAGATCTAGCCTCCCCTATTTTAGTCTTCATATTCACAAACTGAACAGAATATGAGTCACTTTGAGGTTAAACAATGCTTCAGAAAAGACAGGAATATTTATTTACGTTGAGCTTCCTAAGGTTAGATTTTCCGCTAGCTCAGTGAGGTGTTCCTATGTACGCATTTCCAGATCTTCAGTAAGCACAATTTTAGGAATACAGCCTCTTAGCAGCTGCAAAGGATTACGTCTTCCTTACTGGCATACTGCCAAGAGATAGTGTGAGGTGGAAGTCAGATATTTTAGATATACATCTACTTAGAGTTCAGATGTAACACATCATGTTGTAGCGTATATATATATAAAAGGTATAATAAACCTGCAGCTTTGGAACATCTTTTCAAAGGAACCAATAAAAAATATGAGCACAGAAGTGCAGTACTGTTTACTCGTTAACTAAAAGGTCATGTACTGAGATATATCCGTCTATTACGCAGTACTGAAAAATTAAGACAACTAAGCCTTCTAATTAAAACACAGGAGATCATAAAACAAAACTTTGGACTGCCACTGATGACCTTTAGCTGAAAATGCCAGTTTCCTAGCTGTCTTTTGAATCACTGTCCCAGACTGAACACGAAGCAAGTAAATTTAGAGCTCCTGATTTACATACTTTTTCTAGGACAGTGATTATGAAAGTATTGAAGCCAATGGGTCAGTCAGATCGACTTCAAAGAGAAGCTAATTGGCTGCAAGCACTGTTCGGCCGAAGACCTTCCATCTGACTTTATCGATCTTCTTATCGAGGAATGCCGATAAAAAACATGAGGACCCCCCCCACAACACATACCAGACCCTGATAGGGTTATTTATTTTGGGCGTCCCCATGCTGTCTTTTACAACAGAAAACAAACGGAGAGGGAAAAGTTATTAAGCAGCAAATTTTTTTTTTATTTTTTTATTTCTTAGATGTCACTTTTGTTGTAGTAGATGCCACAGCAAAAATGACAATCAAACAAAAAAACGGCATGGGGTCCCCCTCAAGGTCCATACCAGTCCACTATCCTTAATGAGGGTCTGGTATGGATTTTAAGGGGGAACACCACATAAAGAAACAGAGTGGGGCCCCTCTAAGATCCATACCAGACCCAATTTCAGGAATTCAGCACCAGGCCATATGCCCTCAACACAAGGAGGGTATCTGTATGAATGTTGTGTTGGTTTGCCATCTTCAAGCAGGGAGCTACACATTGAAAAAAAATATTTTAAAAATTGTAAAAAATTTAAGAAAAAAATCAATGGAGCAGATAGATTTCAAGAACTTCTATTTAAATATGATAATTCTTGGTAGACACCGGGTCTGGCAGCATAGGTCAGCTCTAACCTTGAGGCTTCCTATGTTCATAAATGATGCAAAATATACAGATTACAGGTGCACTATAAACTCTCAATTATTTTTAGTAATGCTATTACATACTGTGAATAAAAACACTTAAACCACCTCTATATGGCACAGCTTGGTGGCTTGGTATTCAGTCAGTATAGCTGAGAATACTATAAATAAAACACCTTGAACATAAATCTAGTCATGGTTACTTTGTTGCTATGTGTAACACTTTACATAGCTGCAATTCTTTGCTGGCTTTAAGATTCAAACACATAAACACACTGAATCTGCACAATGTAATTCCCAAATGACACAAAGCCTTTTTAATGGCAATTTTACATTCAAAGCCACGGAAATAAATCTATAATGTTATATGTTATATATTTTTGGAACGGTCTTCATTATCAATTCCTTGGCTGTGACAACAACAACTTGGTTAGCTCAGGAAGCCATGCATACATTTCTCACAGCATGCTGCCTCAAGTTCCTTCTTATCCACTATTATTGTATAAATAAACAGGCCCATTAGGCCTTATTCTTTTGAGAGTTCAAAGTGGGGGCTCAGAATGCGTTTCTAACTCCAGCCAAATACCCCCCAAACACCAGGTGTTAAAAATTAAAAAAAGAGTGAGCTAAGGCATGGCTCAGTCCACACTTACATTATTGTATACCACTTTTTTAGACCTAAGCTGTCCACTGATTGCATGCCTTCCCCCAACCAGGAGAGGCTTTAGAATATGAGGGGGAATGCTGCCCTTGCCTATGGCCATCATAACGTTGTCCAATCCAATTGTTTTCAAGCAACCATCCTCTCACATATATGGGTAACTTATTGACATAGTATATACAGCTTTAGTTTTGCTTATATATCATTATAACATTACTACTAAATTAGATTTGGTGGCGTTCCAGAGGTATAGATTATTTATGTCAGTACCACAAATATTTTACATTTCTAAATGAAGACCTATCATGAAAGCTATTTTACAAAGCTTTCACCTGTCAGACATCAGTGTACAGTAATGAAAAGAATTTTGGCTTTTGCACGGATTGTGGAATATTTATAGAGTGTGTTATGATATATAAAGTTTTGAATTACAACTACATGGCAAAAATAGAAAAACGGGAATTCATTCTCTCAAACTCTTATTTATGAATCATGAGCTATAAGAAATGTAGGTTACAGATCTATAGCTTCACAGTTTTTACCTTTACATACATTTATTTCTGTGTGTTAAGTTTTGTCTACACTGGATTTAATAAGAGTGGCACTGAAGATGACTCTGCAGAAAAGTGCTTGAGACATCTTGCTAGAAGATCTGTATAGCAGCACTAAACAGACAGTTTTATTTATTTGTAGTACGAGGATACACTACAACAAAAGCAAACCACAAACATTTAGAAATATGATGATGTGAGCAGCCAAGCTATGGCTGCTCTGTTGTATACATAAAGATCAGCAATGCTATGCAATGAAAAACTATGCAAGCATTAACTACAGGCTACAACAACACTGTCCAATTTAATGCAATCTTCTCTACTGCTGGAAAGCAATAATAAATTAAAAGAAAAACAGAAAAAACGTACATGACAATGCAACAGGAGCTGAATATCAGAGGATCTAT